AATTGATTACAATGTTTACTATTTCAAAATCACGGCAACTTTTGTTTATTTGTATATTTTAATTGATTATTTGATAAAATAAAATATTTTTGTCTTCTCTTATTTTATAAAATTTTTGATATAGTTTTAAAATTTGTAACTTCTATTTTTTATTTATGTATTAATCTTTAAATAAAATAAATTGAAAAACTTGAAATTTTTCTTTATTTTTTCATAATTTATAATCAAAATAGGCAGGCGTAAGTGATTTTTTTCTATTCAAAGTTGGGATGAGACTATTTTTTTAGACTTTCACTTAAACGTTGGTGACTTTTGTGTTCTCGCAGCGGTGAAAGGCAGGGGATTTATCGGACGGGATTTGACGATCGAGAACACGGCGGGGCCGCAGAAGCACCAAGCGGTGGCGCTCCGATCAGATTCCGATCTATCGGTGCTGTACCGGTGCGCCATCACCGGCTACCAAGACACCCTCTACGCCCACGCAATGCGCCAGTTCTACCGGGAATGCCACATCTCCGGCACCGTCGACTTCATCTTCGGCGACGCCACCGCCGTCTTCCAGAACTGCCAGATCCAGGCGAGGAAGGGCCTGCCGGGGCAAAAGAACACCATCACCGCCCACGGCCGGAAATTATCGTCGGAGCCCACCGGGTTCTCCATCCAGTTCTGCCAGATCACGGGGGACCCGGAGCTGACGGCCGCCGGAAAGGCCAGCGAAACGTTCCTCGGCCGGCCGTGGAAGCCCTACTCCCGGACGGTGGTGATGCAGTCGTTCTTGAGCGCTGTGATCAGTCCACGTGGATGGCTGGAGTGGAACGGGAATTTCGGGTTGAATACTCTGTTCTACGGGGAGTACATGAACTACGGACCCGGAGCCGGGTTGGGAAACCGGGTCAACTGGACGGGTTACCACATTATCAAGGACTACAATCAGGCCAACGAGTTCACGGTGGCTAAGTTTATTGGCGGCAACACCTGGTTGCCGTCGACCGGAATCAAATACGCCGCCGGTCTCAAGGAGGTGTGATCCTATCCCATTCATTTCCATTACGCCGAGGGAGGGAGATCAAGTTCTAGTTGATTTTACACCCACTTACATATATAACATATACGAGTATACACTTTCTTCATTGTGATTACTTGGGGTTTATCTTTTCTTTTTCTCTTTTAAATTTATTTATTGCATAATATATATGCACTTTGTTCATTGTGATTCATTGGTTCATTTGGTTGTAAATTGTGTTCGTGACATGTTTATTGTATACCTTGAAATGTTTTTTGTTTTAATTTCTTTCCTAAATAAAAAGTGAAATTTGTTCGATATAGTACTAAAACATCTTCTCTATGTCTTATTTTAAAAATAAGACATGTTATCTTCTTTTTCTCTAAATAGATTTGTTACTCAATGTGTCTTATTTTGAAAATAATATTTAGTTATTAAATAACTTTAATAATAATGCCCCCTCCATTCCTAAATAAAATTATAGTGTTAGATTATGATGTTAGATCGAAGCTATTTTAATTAGTTTTATATAAATATCAGTGTAGAATTAATGAATAAAACTTATATATTTAAAATTATTTAAATTTTTATAAATTAAGTGGTAACAATAATATTTTATTCTTGTTCAATGTGCTCACGCCTTAGAAAGAGTAGGAGGAGGGGGTGAATAAGATGTTTAATTGTTTTAGAATTTAAGGTTAAACTCGATCCTTTGCACAAGGATTTCTCGACTACTCTCAACCGTTACAACTTTAAAATTTTATGCCTATTCTTGACCATAAAAATGTTGATAAAAAAATTCCACACAAGGATTCTACACAACGATAAGATTAAGAACAATACATGGTCGGTGTAGAATAAAGATATACTCCGTATACAATAAGAAAATTACATATGCTAGACGAATCTGGGTCCGGCATACACAAAATAATTGCCCATTTCTATGGATGGGCCAGGTTTGACCCGAATCACATGGCCTAAAAGATATCCCAATTTCTGCCTACCTATGTGGGTATATTTTCCCATCGGGCTTCAAGCCTAAAAAATGCATCAAGGAAAAACAGAAAATAAAATAGAAGTCATTTTAATAACAATTTTACAATAAAAAATAAAGTACTAGAAAAAAAATCCAACACGTCTAAAAAAGAATAAAAATAAAAAAAAGTAGCTATAATTTTAACTCTATATAAATCTATTCAGCATCAATATCCGATCTTTCTTCAAAATTGAGTACGTTTGCAAGTTGATGGCAAAATAATTTAAGCTCTTTTTCCTTAATTCCACTCAACTTATGTGGAAATAAAAACTCAAATAATCTCTCATAGTCTTTGAATTGTTCAAATCTCATCTCAAGAGAAGATATGGCTTTATCCACAACATAAGAAAAGAAGTTGCCTCTAAAATTCTCTTCAGTTGTAAATGAAACTTCTTCGCTACTTGAACTCTCATCAACTCTTTTTGCCTTCAAATCAAACGCTTTTCTGGAAATATCGAAGATATATCTATTTTAATAGCTATCTCCTTTGCTTTATCAATTGCTTTTGAATAACTAGTTTCTCTATAATCCGTGAAGTACTCAATCAATCCATTTATCTCTTTAATAGCAATATCAAGATGCATATCCTTTGATTGTTACTTCTTGCTCACTATATTTACATGGTTTAATATTTGATACCAAATAAGAATTGATACTAAAAACTCAAATTCACTGATTTTCTGCTAGTGACTTTGCTGTATGAACAATTGCATTATCACTATCTTTTTCTTCAACTTTAAGTGAAGCTTCTTGTACATCGGCAAGTTGCATTCTAATTGCCTTAACTCTCCACACGACTTTTCCAACGAGTTTGAGATAATGGCTTAAGACTCCAACCTTTAACATTATCTTTCAAAATTTCCATTGATTAATTGAATGTGCAAAGATAGTATAAATTTTTTAGATGGCTCTAAAAAAGTTCCTCCTTTTAACACAACTTTGAGCCATATCACCAAAGCCAATTGTCTATGTCTATGAAGTAAGAAGGGAAGGGGCTAACCTGCTAAGGAGAGTGGGCTTTGACATAATGGGCTTGGGCTTTTTATACACATACATATAATATTTTTTTGAAAACATTGGGCCCCATAAAATCATGGGATTGGTCCAGATGGACTGCTTGTCCCCCTATTAGGGCGGCCCTGTACAACATCAACTTACAAGTCCGATGAATGAAGTTATGGTCACCCTCCTAGACACTCATCAATTCTGTCGTGTTTGGGTGGAACCAGGCTTTGCAGTCAAAAATGTAACAGTATGTCAAAACGATTCTCGTGTTTTAGAAAAAATTAGGAATGATCGGGTTGAGAAAATTTTAAGAAGGTGTGGATTTTATGGGGTACATACATCGGGTGCACCCCATTAAAATAAATCATAGTTTGATTATGACCCTCGTTGAAAGGTGAAGGCCTGAAGTGGATGCATTTTACTTCTTGTTTGGTGAACTTGGCATTACTTAACAGGGTGTTGAATGTTTGATGTGTTTAAGAACAGATAGTGAAATTTGAAATTTAGAATGAAAAAAAAGTAATTCAAAGTTTCACAATAAGAAACTCAAGGACCTCATGTAGTTGGCAGGGAGTACTCTGTGATGGGACTGTTCCCACCCAAGACCCGACCCCTGTCGGATGCAAGAAGAAACGGTCGGGTGGTCTAGGAGAAACACGTGCCAAGAAAGTTGGGCCGCACCAGAACCTGATCGGTGCGAGAGTGAACCACCCGGGAAGTTCAATACCCATCACACTATCGGTCAGAGTGCATGACTTTATGGAAGGGATCCTCAGATTGACAAGGCATTAATTCGAGAAACCACCTGGGTGGTTCTTTGAGATGTGTACGTAATGACAACTCAGTGCATTGAGAGGTAGCAATGTGGAAGCAACTTGGTCTAACTAAATCCCCCTACACATGGATACATTTAAACATCCCAACCAAACGCTACGCGCCAAACGAGGATAGTCACAAAGGGAAACCTCTGAGAAATAAGAGAAAAACGCTACATGCCAAAAGTGGCAACATGACCTGCGCACTATCACGTGCGAGGTATGGGCACATGCCAGCCTTTCATCTAATCCCACTATAAACAGACTTGTAACCTTTAGTAGAAGGGATCTAAATTTCATCTCTTTAAACCTATATTGTGTAGTATCACCCCGTACCCTTCCCATACTTAATAACAATTGGACTACAGGCATTCTCACCTATAGTCTTCCTGGTCAACTTTTATTTTCTGTGTCTTTTCAGGCTTTAAACTTAGCAAATCACCTTAGACCTAGTCTAGAGTAGTTTGTTCGGGTCGTAATTTACACTATCACTGCGAGTGTCCAAGAGTTCCACGAACGTATGCAAGAAATTCGGGGTCAGAGTGAACTAGCATATCATATCTTGCTGAGATTCCGTAGGAGTTGTGGACACTAGGATACGATGGTGGTAGTTGATGTGGGATACTTACCACGAATAGTTCTGAGAGGTTCAACAATATGCTAAAAGGTTTTCAAACGCTTCTAGTGAGTGCTATTATCATCATGTCGTATAATAAAATTGTTGATTTGTTTGAGTCACGATGCAGGTCTTGTTTTTATTAGCAACAAAAAAAATCTTTTATTTACTCAAAAATTTTTGAAGATCTCTAAAGCAAGTGAAAAACATAAACAAATGTTTCAAGCTATGCATTATGGCAGAAATCAATATGTTGTCTCTAGGGCTTCCATCTCTAACCCATGGCATATGTATAGCTTCGCGATCAACTTTGGGAGTGAGCTATGTACGCACTTGTGGACAATGGTAAGGAGACAAGATTTCTTGCGTGCATGTGCACTCCTTGTTCCATTCTTTCAGGTAGCGTGTGGATGATTGATATAGGAGGTCACCGTATCACACAGCCGTAGGAGAGGGGCGGCAAGGCAGAAGGCAGTAGCTATGGGAAGAAGAGGGTTTTAGGGTTTTAGAGAGAGAAGTTTGGGGAAAGGAGGATGTTTGTTATTATTCTTAGGGTGTAAAAAAGTATTACATCTCCTTATATAGTAGGGTTCCCCAATCCTACGTAACTACGTTTTCTATCTTGTCGGTTCAAAAAAAGAATCGAGGTAAATAACTGAAAAGAAACCCTCGAAGGAGTTTATATACGCTCACCTAATGAAAATCTAAGTACATAAAAATAATAAATGATTAAATATAATCTTGATATCTCTTGGGCCGACCCACGTTCCTCTTGGGATGCCCAACGGCACTAGTCGTAGTATCCTGCTGTGTCGATGATTGGCCCATAACAACTCCCCCGCGGACGGAATCGGCCTTGTCCTCAAGGCAGAGATCAGGATAGCGCTGCCACAGCTTCTCTACTGGCTCCCACGCCAGGTCATCAACCGCATCCGTAGACCATTGAACAAGCCATTGCTCCTGTGGTACCCCATTCACCAAGATTGTACAACTCTGTGTGGAAAGGACCATCAAGCAAAGAGGGCGACCCTTATAGAATTGTTTTGGTAACTAGGGTGTTGGCATATCACCCTCATGGCGAACGAAGGGTCGTAACAAGGAAACATGGAAGACGTCGTGGATCTGACACCCTTCGGGTAACTGTAGATGATATGCAACTGGGCCCACTCTTTCAAGCACCTCGAATGGGCCGTAGAACCTGCGAGAAAGCTTAGCCGACTCCGGGCGAGCCACCGAATGCTGACGATAGGGCTGAAGCTTGAGTAGCACCAAGTTGCTGACGGCATAACTCACGTCCCGACGGTGTCGGTTAGCTTGGTCGCGCATGCGCTGCTGCATTTTAGAGAGATGGGCCTTCAAATCCATAAGTAACTCAGCACGATCCTTCAATAATTCCTCGATTGCTGGCACGCAGGAACGGACGCCCAAAGTGTGGAACAATGAAGGTGGCGGCCTGCCATATAGGGCCTGGAAAGGAGAAACCCCAAGTCCCTCGTGTGTGCTGCAGTTCAAGGCAAGTTCCGCCCATGGGAGCACCTAGGACCATTTGGACGGCCGGTCGTGTGTAAATGCCCGCAAATACTGTTCAATGTATCGGTTTGTAACTTCCGTCTGTCCATCCGTCTAGGGGTGGTATGTAGTGCTATACTTCAGTGTGCTCCCACTAAGGCGCATTAACTCTTTCCAGAAGGTACTCATGAATATGGGATCTCTGTCCGAGACAATATCTTCGGGAAAGCCGTGATGTTTGACAACAACCTCGACAAATAGTTGAGCCACTTTATGGGCGTTATACCCGGCAGCTAGCGCTCCGAAATGTGAGTAGTTGGTGAGGCGGTCGACGACCACCATGATGGCAGAGAAACCCTGAGAAGGTGGCAATCCCATAATAAAATCCATGGAGGCGGACTCCCACACTTTGTCGGGGATGGGGAGTGGCTGAAGTAGACCCACCGGCTTCTGAGTAGAGTATTTGGTCGCTTGACACGTCGGGTAGGAGGCGACGAACTGTTTGACATCCCGGTGCATAGCCCCGCCAATAGAAGGTGTCCGCCAACCGTTTGAACGTTTGGTCCACCCCTTGATGGCCCCTGACAAGTGTGCTATGGAATTCCTGCAAAAGGGGCTGGCGTAGGGACGAAGTAGCGCCGATATAAATCCGGCATTTATAATAAAGAATGCCGTCATGGACCGTGATATGCGGTGGGGCGAAACCACACTAGACCGCCGCATGCATGGCCTAGAGATCCGGCATGGTACTGTTCTCCATCTGGAGATCCTTCAATAGGGACGGCAAGGGTCTGGCATAATGCATAAATAGGTTGGAGGCCTCACTGAGGTCGTCCCTCCGGGACAAAGCATCGGCGGCGAGATTGGAGGGATCGGTCTTGTATTCCACCTGAAATTTGTATCACATGAGTTTGCGGATATAAAACTGTTGCTCCGGAGTTTGAATCACCTGTGACATGAGCTCTTTAAGGCTGCGCTAATTGCTACAAATAACAAACTCCCGGCCGAACAAATATTGGCGCCATTTCTAGACCGCCGCCACGATCGCGTAGAGTTCCTTGTGGTACGTAGACGCCATGCGAAGACGGGGGCCCAACTTCTTACTTATAGTACACCAAGGGGTGACCCTCCTGTAAGAGTACGGCGCCGATCCCTTTGGAGAACGCATCTGTCTCCAATGAAAAAGGCTTCGTGAAATCGAGGAGCCGCAAAACCGGTGCCGTGGTAATTGCCCGTTTGAGGTGTTGGAAACGGGAATCCACATCGTCCGTCCACTGGAAGCTATCCTTCTTCAAGAGGTTAGTCAGGGGCACAGCAATCAAAGCATAACCGGCTATGAATCATCTATAATACCCCATGAGACCCAGAAATCCTCTTAACTGCCGCACGGTGGTGGGTTTCGGCCATGCAACCATTGCGGAGATTTTGTCGGCATTGGCCTTAAGGTCTCCTCCCGTCAGTATATGACCCGAATAAGCCACGGTAGAGTTACAAAAAGAACATTTGCTCCCTTTAACAAAGAAGGAGTGACGGCGCAAGAGGTCCAAAACCGTGTGCAGGTGGCTGGTGTGGTCGGCTAGACTGGGGCTGTAGACGAGGATGTCATCGAAAAAAACTATCACAAACCGATGGAGATGCTCATGGAAGACACTGTTCATGGCGGCCTGGAAGGTAGATGGGGCGTTAGTTAGCCCAAACAGCATTACTAGAAACTCGTAATGGCCGTCGTGAGTGCGAAAGGCCGTCTTAAAGACATCCAAAGCATGCATACAGATTTGATGATAGCCGGACCTTAAATCCAACTCAGTGAATACCCGAGCAGCCCCCAACTCATCAAAAAGCTCATCCGAAGTCGGAATGGGGAAGTGATCGGGAACGGTAATTGCATTCAATGCCTGATAATCCACACAAAAGCAAAAAGTCCCATCGTTTTTGCGAACCAATAATACAGGAGAAGAAAAGGGATTCTGACTAGGTTGAATAATGCCCTGCGCTAACATGTCACGGATTTGCCGCTCAATTTCGGTTTTCTAAAAGTACGGATAGCGATAAGGCCGGACATTGACTGGCTTGGTATTGGCATCCAGATGGATCCGATGATCCCACGCCCGAGACGGTGGCAGCCCCTGGTTGTGCGAACACATCGCGGTAGGACTCGAGGAGGGGACGGACGTCCGGGGGAGCATGTGCCGGATTATCATCCTCCAAAATAGACTTTGTCATTTGCATAGAAGAAGACAGAAACACCTCATAAAGATCATAGGCAGAGGCCTCACCTGCCATCGAACACAATTGGTTGAAGGAAATGGGTTTCGGCCCAAGGGTATCCCCCCATAAGGTCACTTGCTTGCCCTTCCACATGAAATCCATTGTCATATTGGCATAATCGTGGGAAACCTTGCAAAGCGTCTGAAGCCATTGTATGCCCAAAACAATATCCGGGCCATGGATCTCCAAGAGAAATAGATCAATGTCAAAAAGATGGCCGTGGAGCATCAGTGGGGTGTGTGGACAGGAATAAGAGCACCGCAAGGAGTCCCCATTACCCACGTAGAACTGAAAAGGCGAAACGGGATGTAACACCAAGGATAGGCGTTCGGCCACCATTGGATGAACAAAGTTGTGAGTGCTCCCACTGTCCAACAAGACCTGCACCGCAAAATTGTGGACCGACCCCGCGATTTTCAAAGATCGAGGACTAGGGCTGCCCGCCAAGGAGTGAATACTGGAAATATCACCTGTAATAAGGGTTGGGTCGTCAACGGTGGCGGAGTCCTCCGGTGGGCCCGGATCAACCACATCCGTAGCATCCGGCTTCATGAGAAGAAGAAATCGCCGCTTACAATTATGCCCCGGAATCCATTTTTCATCACAGTACCAGCAAAACCCTTCTTCTTGCGCTCAGCCTTTTCTTCAGCGGACACACGAACAACCGGTAAAGGGGCTGGAGTGGACTGTCTAGGGGAGCGAGAATTAACTAGTGGCAAACGGGAGGTGGCGGGAGGTGTGGGCAGTATGCCTGGGCCCCTAGAAGTAGGAGAGCGTGGAGGCCAGGAACGGCGGGAACCCAGGGAGTATGCCGTCGCTGCATCAGCATGGCAAGCTTCCAATTCACGGGCTAAGGCGAATGCAGACAGTAGTGTAGTAGGGTTCTGAAGGTTGACCTCACGCTGGATGGGTTGTTTAAGGCCCGCCACAAACATGGAAACTATAGTAGCTTCGGACACATCCAAAACCTTATTAAGTAAGGACTCAAACGTGGTTTGATAATCCATGACAGACGAGGTTTGGGTTAACTTGGATAACATGTGGACGTAGTTTTCATAATAATGGGGATCAAACCTTTGATGCACGGCGACGAGGAACTCATCCCATGTGGCGCCAGTGTTATTGGCCTGATAATAGAGAAACCACTCCGAATCTGGGTGATCGATGAGCATAGCGACCAAGTGCAGCCGTTCGGAATCAGGCGTCATAAAGTAGTCAAAATATTTAACCAGGCGTCATAAAGTAGTCAAAATATTTCTGAATGCGGAAAATCAACCACGTAGGATCCTCTCCTGAAAAGCGCGGAGCATCCACGCGCATGTGTGAGGTGGGTTCGGAAGAGCCACCAGCACTACGTGACGAGGGAGGTCGCCAACCCGTCGGTGGAGGACGGAAGTTGGAGCGGCTGTCAGTGGCGGACGTGGATGCTACGTCAGCGACACGAACCCTTGTGGACTGCAAATCCTTTCGAATATCATTGATGACATGCATGAGGTCTTCGAGAGTCAAGTCCATCTCAATCGCCCCTTCATCTATCGCCATCCAGAATTGCCGCCCTCCGTCCAGCCATTCGCTCCTGCGTCTAAATTGAACCGTAGGGTTTGCTTGATCGATCAAATTGCAGTGTACTGCTGCAAACCCATTTACCATTGGGTTGCCAACACCTTCACCAATCAATTATGTTTAGAAATTGCACGACAACGACCTCTATTGATGCATTCAACGCGGAGGTGGATTATCTTCTCTCTTTAATGGGGAATGTTTTATATGGAAAAATTGAGTTTTACGAAGGAATGTCTACAGTTGAAGATTCCGTTAATGAACTTATAAAGAAACTTCAATCATTCCGTCATATTGAAGGCCAACCAAAATATGATTCTGAACTATATGCGTTCGTCGTAGAGGCCTCTTGCTCAATTCAGGATTTAGTTCGTGGTTCCCCAATTTTGCCAAGTTTGATCCCGATAGAGTTACACTTTTTCAAAACAAATATGATGAGCGCGATAAGGAAACTCATTGGTGCTCTATTTTCTCCACCAAATCTAGCTCCTAAGGCTGGGGACATGATTGTTCAGATCGTAGAAGACACAACCGCACACAATAGTTCTATTGTAGAAAATTCAAGCGCCAAGCCACGCATCGAGGATGACATGAAAAGTGGGTATGATGTCATGGATACTAGTGCTTGTGCTAGAGCTAGAGATGTTGAGTCAGACTACAAGTCCAAGTGCGTTACTGAATAGTGCCCTGATGCTGTTCCTCTGATTGTGACTGATCCTGTCCCTACAAATGGCGTTTATGGGGAAAACCATTGGCGAAGCCTCTCTAAACTGAAGAAAGTTTCCCCAGGCAACAATATGATTTTTTATGGATGCACAACGGAATTAGAAACGACAGCTATTGAGGTTATTGTCTTTTGTGGTTTTAAATGTTTTACCCAAGAGGACATCATTTTCCAACCGTTGGTTGCATGGAGCAGTTTTATTCATACTAATGGTGCTTTGGGTCCCACACACTCTTTTGATGCTCCAATGATCACGGTGACCCCGGGGGATGGATGATGCATGGCGCACCTTTTCCCTGTCTTTGTGGATCCCCAACTTGAGGACAAGTTGGTTTCTGAGGCGGGGAGAGTGATACGGGACTATATTCACTATTATTATTATTATTATTATAATTATTATTATTATAAGTAATTTATTATTTATGGTTAGTTAATTATATTATTCTTAGAAAGTATCATTGCTTTAGGTTATTAGTATTTTAGTTATTTAGTTTCCATCTATGGTTAGGATTTTTAAGGTGTGCTAGCTATAAATGTATCCATTTCTGGGAGTTATTAATCAAGCCATAAAGAAAATATTTCTCTCAAACCCTAATCTCCATTCTTCTCCTCTAGCCGAACGACACTTTCTTCCTCTTTTCTCTCTTTCTCGTGTCTCTCGTTCTTGAAGCTTGAAGGTGCTCGAAATCCTTCTTTATCCGGATACGATCACGTATCAATGGGAGAGCACCAAATGATATGGGAGGTCACCGTATCACATAGCCGCAGGAGAGGGGTGGAAAGGTAGTAGGCTGTAGCTACGGGAAGAAGAGGGTTTTAGGGTTTTAGAGAGAGAAGTTTGGGGGAAGGAGGATGTTTGTTATTATTCTTAAGGTGTAAAAAAATATTACAACTCCTTATTTAGATAGAGTTCTCCAATCCTACGTAACTACGTTTTCTATCCTGTGGGTTCAAAAAAAGCATCGAGGTAAAGATCCGAAAAGAAACCCTCGAAGGAGCTTATATACGCTCACCTAATGAAAATCTAAGTACATAAAAATAATAAATGATTAAATATAATCTTGATATCTTTTGGGCCAACCCACGTTCCTCTTAGGATGCCCAACCGTGATTGTGTCTCTCATCTGTATAGCTTGCAACGGTATTAGTTGTGCTACGCCGGCCATACTAGACTTTTGATATTTCTAAATGATTTTAATTATGCAGAAATATCCGATATTTCTGCCAATAAGGCAAGAAATAGAAATATCGCATTCTGGGCGTCGCAAGCAAAAATGCTACTTAGGAGAAACAGGATGAGATTTACGATGGAAGGATAAGAGCGTTACAAACTATGCATGCTACATGTAATCGTTTTTTGTCATCTTAATATTCAGTGTATATTTTTAAATATTCATTGTATTTTTTTAAATATAAAGTGTATGTTGTTTTTAAATATTAGTGTATATTGTTTTTGTGAAATATTTAGTGTATGTTTATTTTAAATATTTTTTCTAAAAATTTAGATAAATAGCCATTCCATTAATTAATTTTTGTTGAATCATTTAAAAAAATTCTGGGTGATGGATGGGGTGGAGCGGATGGTTGAGGGAGTGGAGTTGAACTTATGAGTTGAAGTAATATGTGTTCACCGTACACAAGTATAGTAATGTGTGTTCAGCGAACACACTTTAGATCGATAGGATTCTTTCAACAAAAACTTTCATTGACATGAATTTACTCTTACATTTAGTGCACTAGTTAGGTGGCCGGTGGTGACTCAAATTGAAAATTTGAGACTTCATGAGCTTAATGGGCTATTTATTTGTATTGATGTTTAATAACTTATTGCTGATACGTAGTTTTAATTTATACACTGTTTATGGAACTTTTTTTTGTAAAATAACACAAGTGAGAGATGAGTTATTTGGGATATACTTTTTCCGTCCCACTATATTTGTCCACTTTCATTTTTGCACACCATCCAATACATTTCTTTAATCCATTTTATCTTGTAATTTGTATATTAAAAAATTATAAAAATTATATATTAATAATCTATATGTTAAGACAAATCAAACAAGATCACACATGACTATATTTAGGCTTACACATTGAGAGAATTTGATGAGTCAAAGTGCTTAGATGAACAGTTCCAAAAGTCAAATGTGGACAAACAAAGCGGGACGGAGGGAGTACACAAAAGGTCGGGGATGATTTTTCAAATGATTTGATCAAAACAGAGAAAAAAAAGGGCATAAAAATAAGATTTATTCTTTGATTTATGAATAATACTTGATCAAATAACTTTTAAATTAAAAATAATTTATAAATGGTTTTGACCAAGTTCTTGAATCTCTCATGCAATCCGTGCACATTGTTAATAAATAAAAAATGTGGAACACCCACCCTGGTTGCCCTACACCCCAACCCGACAAGATTACGAGGCCGGCAAATCATAGCATAATCTTAATATGATCTTTAGAGAAGCTGCCCCGTACTCGATGCCCACAAAAAACTATTATTGATAATACAACTCCCGCACTACCGCTGTCAGAATTCGACCCTAGATCAACGGGTTTGACATTGTTAATAAATAAGAAAGGGACAAAGTGACCACCAACTCACCAAGGCCTAACATGTGACCTTCATCGATAAAGAAAAAAAGAAGAAGAGGCGAAGGATTAAAAAAGAACCGAGTAGGATTACAGTCACAATAGTGACATAATTTCCGTAACGTCCTTACGCAGTGACTAATGAGTCAAACTTGATTTAAGGACTCCGTATTTCACAGCACGTTGGTCCGTAAAATGCTCAAGGACTACCCTGCAAAAGTCTGAAAACAATTCAAAAAAGTCAGCAGTGGAAAATAAAGGTGCCCATTGGATTTAGATTAAACCATTCAAACGGGTCATTGGTACACAGGTTAACATAAGAAAAGAAAAAATTAAGCAGAATACCTAAGCTGCTTTCTGGTTTTGGACTCCTCATCTTCAACCTGCAGCTTCTTTCTAACAGAATCATTCTTAGAGTACAACATTTTAATTGGGCTTTTAATTACGGTTTTGAATTTTTGGTCCATTTGATTTTTTAACGACGGATTTACGAGAAGTCACAGGTTTGATCTCCTGTGAGGTAATAACTCTACGTGTTTAACATGTTGATCGAGAATGTATGAATATATATTACGGAGTATATTATACTTGGTCCGTCCCTGAGTGTTTGTCCACTTTTGACTTTTGGAACTGTTCATCTAAACACTTTGACTCATCAAATTTTCTCAATGTGTAAGCCTCAAAATAGTCATGTGTGATCTTGTTTGATTCGTCTTAACATATAGATTATTAATATATAATTTTTATAATTTTTTAATATACAAATTACAAGATAAAATGGATTAAAGAAGTGCATTGGATGGTGTACAAAAATGAAAATGGACAAACACTCAGGGACGGAGGGAGTAATAGAATTATTAATGTTAAAAACAATTTATCAGTGAATTCTTTTCAATTACTTTATGAAAAAATAATATTCATGTGCAAGTCTCGAGCAAATAAATGTTATGTGCACATGAGAGATGTTATTAGAATATAAAAAATATTTTTGAATTTTTAAATCACGAATTTGAACTTTTAATCGAGTATCTGATAAAGATGAGTAAACACAAGCAAAACCATTTTCCTTGAAACGATTAAAATATCACATGCATCTAATACCAGCAAGCAGCCCACCTAATTATCATCATCATTACCATCTTCTTGTACTCCCTCCGTCCCAGAGTATTTGTCCACTTTCATTTTTACACACCATCCAATGCACTTCTTTAATCCATTTTATCTTGTAATTTGTATATTAAAAAATTATAGATATTATATATTAATAATCTATATGTTAAGACAAATCAAACAAGATCACACATGACTATATTTAGGCTTACACATTAAGAGAATTTGATGAGTCAAAGTGCTTAGATGAACAGTTCCAAAGGTCAAAAGTGGACAAAAACTGAGGGACGGAGGGAGTATTAAATATTAATGTTGTTAAACAATGGAAAAAAGAATCTTTATTCTGACTCCAGTACGGTTTTTTCCCTCTTTTTTGGTATAAAAAAGGCCTTTTGTTCCACTCCCTTTCCCATCACCAAACCAAAACTCTTTCATTTTGTTCTCTTTTCCCCCTTGGAAACTGTTCTGCATTGGTTCTTCTTTTCTGAGGTTTAAAAAAAAACATCATTTTTATGTTTTCTGCAATAAAGTAGTTGTCTTTATCTCATTTTATAAAGTTATGATTTGGATAAAGCTATTTGTACCCCCAACTTTTGTACCCCGCAGGTTTGCATCGACACTTTGTGTTGGTGTAAAACTAATTTTTGTTAATGCACCAATACTTTATGTCCGTGTAAATTTTTATTAACGCACAAACACTTGTGTCGGTGTAAACCATCAAAATGTTTGTGTATAACTGCGGTGTACAAAT